CCCCCCCTTTTCTGGTTTTTTTCTTTATTTTTTTTTCCAGAAAAATGTGTTACGAAGCACCTGAGGAGTGATGCAGAGGATAATCTTTAAAACGTTTTGGTAATCTATTTTCTTACAAGTGAAAGGTGGCACAGTGTCGACTTTTTAGAGTAATTGCTCTCTTAAAATCTCCATTAAGAAAAGCGATGCTTGAAAAGAAGGCATAGTATTGGAAAACTGGGACTTAGGATAAATAAACCTTCAAAGAATGAAATAAAAAAAAGCGGGAAAAAGTAGGCAAAAGTGAGCATGCGCACGAAGGAAAGCACGCGTGACGGCTGCGCACGACTTACAGCATCAACGGCGCCTAAGGATCCGTCAATTCAAGCTCCTTCCCCTGCTATGTGGAAGGCTCCCTTTACATTCGTACTCTTTATACTATTTTGGGCTTTTAATCCACCCACCCCGTTCAAAAAGTGCTGGAGGGCAAGTCGAGCTTCCGTGTAAACTTGAGCTTCCGCCGCGCCTGCGTAGCGTTCCCGCCCGTTGCCAGGCGACCGAATCGGGCGCTTCCGTTTGAAAAAATCCTCTCTGAAGGTCGCGTGCTGCTATGAGGTCTAAACGGGAATTCCTAGAGATACAAATTTAAAGTGACACGCAAGGATAAACTTCAGCGTTAAGAGAGACTGTTTTTTTTTTCTCCGATAAAATTTGTCAGATCCACTGTCAGGGATAATAATGTGGAATTCTTTTTTTCTCCAATAAAATTTGTCAGATCCACTGTCAGGGATAATAATGTGGAATTCTTTTTTTTCTCCAATAAAATTTGTCAGATCCACTGTCAGGGATAATAATGTGGAATTCTTTTTTTTCTCCAATAAAATTTGTCAGATCCACTGTCAGGGAAAATAATGTGGAATTCGTAGGATTCTTCCACTTTTCATAACTGTGGTTAACACTTCCTGCTGTGCAAGAAAAGGGCTGGTATTTCATATGGTGGAAAATATTACCCATTGTTCTTTAAGGGGGAATTGCAATTATTTAAGGGGAATTGCAATTATTGCAATTATTTAAGGGGGAATTATTTAATTGCAATTATTTAAGGGGGAATTGCAATTATTTTTCTCCATCTGTCTGTATTGTTATAGGTCAGGGCTTCCGGCCTGATCAGAGGATTGGACTAGAAAACCTTAAAGATCCCTTCAACTCTGTTATTCTAGATTTGAGTTTCTTAACCGTGACAGCTTTTAAGATATGTCTGGAGAATTCTGAGAGTTGGTCCACCTGTCTTAAAGTTGCTAAGGTTGAGAATGATTGCTCTAGTCTAGGGCAGGGATGTCAAACATCACCAATTTTTAAAACCTGTGGATCTCAATTCCCAAAATTCCCCAGCCAGCATTCTGGGAGTTGAAGTCCACAAATCTTAACATTGCCAAGATTTGACATCCCTTAGGACAGAGGTCCCCAACCTTTTGGGCACCAGGGACCGGTTCCATGGAGAGAGGATTTTCCACGGACTGGAGGGTGCATGGTTTTGTGTGCTGCCTGCATCGTGTGGATGGGGCTTTCCTTTCTTGTGTGGCCCGGTTGCTGGCATGCCATGGCCCGGTACTGGTCCATGGACCAGGGGTTGGGGACTCCTGCCTTAGGATATCTTTCAACAAAATGGTGCGGTTCAGACACATGATGATTATTAATATTATAGACTCCCACTTGATATTATTAGTTTTATTAATGATAATACTGACTCCCATGATTTAAAAGAGAAAAACAGGTCCATAAAAACAAAAAACAAAATTAGGTATGGCAAAATAACAGACTAGGTTATTTTCTTTTCTGGGTTTTCTTTACTTACTTCATGCATGTCCAGTCCTCTAGAGTAGTTTGTGGATCCATTCCTGGATGGCATCTGTTTGGAGTCCCAAAAAGGATCAAAGAAATTAAATGTCTAGACTATAACTATGCCAATGCGGTACCCTCTAGAAATGTTTGGTTTGAATTCTCACCAAATCCAGCTAACCACAATAGCTAGAGTCTTACTTTTAATGAGAGAAAGGGAAAAAAAACAATCTTCAGGATGTTTGTGTGCTTGATGTCACATTCTGCACTACTGCGAAACGTAAGGATTATACATGTTTGTAGTAAATAATTGATCTTTTTATGTAAATACCTTGTTTTTTTTTCTTTCAACAGTTTGTGTAGTTACAGCTTTTCAGCCAGAACAATTCTGCTCCAACATGAACCACGGTGAACAACTGATCACCTTCACTCGTGCCCAAGGGGAGTCAGATCGTTGGAGAGATGGACACATTCAGAAAAAAACCAGAGGTTCTTGCTTTACCAACCAGGAAGAAGAGAATGCAGCTGGTGAAGCCGTGCGTAACTTTTATGAGAGCCTGGCACTTACAAGTAGTTCTAAAAGAGTGTTACAGAGGAAACCAACTGTAGTTCGTGTACTCCATCGGCCAGCGCAGGTGTCTCCTTGCATCCCAAACTGCCCAGGACAAACCGACACCCACAAAGGGAATCAGCTCTTGAAAGCCGCTCAAGATGGCAACATGAAGTCTCTCCAAAGGCTTGTGGAGAAGGAAGGGTGTGATGTGAATTATAAAGATGGGTTTTATTGGACACCCATCATGTGTGCAGCCTATGCTGGACAAGGGGAAGCGGTACATTATCTTTTGAGTCATGAGGCTGCTTGGGTGGGGATTTGTGAATCACAAGGCCGGGATGCTATGGATCTAGCTGAAGAAGCTGGACATGAAGAGGTGATCAGCATCCTTCGGGAGAGCAAAAGGCCTCAAGCGAAGAATGAATCCTCTAGGTGAGTTCTCCTGTTTCTGAGTTCATCCAATTTTCCTCTAGGACAGACATGTCAAACACAAGGCCCGGGGGCCAGATGCGGCCCGCGAAGTGGTTTCATGTGGCCCACGAAGCCATCCTGGAAACAGTGAGGGAACGGCCCCTGCTGCTTTGGCTCTGGCCCTGGCCGGCCGGGAGCCAATGTACAATTTTGTGGTGGCCATCTATGCTGAAATGCAATCAGTCTTAGCTCCACAAGGCCGTCTCTGGAAACAGCGAGGAACCAGCCCCTGCCCTGTCGGCCCCATCCCCTGGGTGCATGCTGGGGAGGTGTTACCCTTTCTGAGGAATGAAGAAATTCACCATCGCCTGGAAGTGGCCAGCAAATGGCCCTCACCTACTTCACATATTCGGCTTGATGGGCTCTGGCGGAGGGGTTTCAGCAGGCAGTGAGGCTCCTCCAGTGGACCATGCCTTGGCACTTGCCCTGGTCCCACCCCCTTCTGCCAGAGACCCTCAGATCTGTCCCACTCCTGCCCAGGCCCCCACAGGCACCCTTGACGCGAACGATGTAGAGCTGGCCATGCCCACCCAATAGGCCACACCCACTCCATCCACGCCCATCCTGGTCACACACACACACCCCGAGGGCAACCGCAATGCTGATGCAGCCCTCAATAATATTGAGTTTGACATCCCTGCTCTAGGAGGAAATGCTTTGAGTGGATAGGTTTCTGAATGTTGTTATGCATTATTTCACTGATATAATGTAGGCCAAAAGCAAGTCAAATATCGTCAAAATTTTAAAAGTTTGCTCTAATATTGATTTATAGTTATTGCATTAATGGCTACAGGCTACAAGCCAAGACCATTAAATCCATTCTATGCCATGAACAGTTTTTCTGCTCTTCAGGCCTTAATATGTTATGTTGATTTAATGTTTCTTGCTTTATTTATTTGTTTGTTTATTTATATTTTGTATATTGCCCAGAGTCCTCTGGAGTTGGGTGGCCAAAATTTTTTAATAAAATGAATAAATAAATAAAATATACCACAAGAAAAATGATCAAATACAATGCAAGTAGTTTTAGATAACTCAAATACAGGTAGTCCTTGACTTACGACCACAACTGAGCGCAAAATTTCTGTTGATAAGTGAGACAGTTAAGTGAATTTTGCACCATTTTCTGACATTTCTTGCCACAGTTGTTAGGTAAATCATTGCAGTTGTTAAATTAATAGCACAGTTGTTAAGTGGAATCTGGCTTCTCCATTGACTTCGCTTGTCAGAAAGTCACAAAAGGTATCACATGACCCCGGGATATTGCAACCATCATAAACATGAGTCAGTTGTTGATCATCTGAATTTTGATCACATGACTCTAGGGATGCTGTAATGGTCGTAAGTGTGAAAAATGGTCATAAGTCACTTTTTTCAGTGTTGTAACTTTGAACAGTCACTAAATGAACTGTTATACTTTGAGGACTACCTGTAACCAGTGTCCAACTGTAGCCAGACCTTTAGAAAATCTGTTTCTTCCATCGCTTCCTTCTGAAATGCTATTCAGTAACATTTACAAGTTTATAAGTGAAAATCTTATCACCCTAAATATGTGTAAGGTTGTTCTAAACTGGTTCAGGCTACCGAACCATGAAAACTGATCGCTGAATATTCCAGATATAAATAGATTTTCCAGGGTGCCAGCAGATAGAAGACTTTATGGCCCTCCCTGTAACTGTCAGCTGCATCTACTATATCAATGAAGATTAATTACATTTTTTTATTACTGAATTTGGGGCAGTGTTTGGCTAGCTAGATAAAAGTAAGTAGCATTTAATTCCTCCCCTGGCGTAATTCTGAAATGTGAATCTTACTGTGCTGTATAATTATTACCAATGTAGACCTGGGATGATATCAGAGGCCTCTGGACTAAGCAAAGTTAATTTGGAAAAAGATTGCCATGCTCCTCTCACACTGTTCATAGATAGAATTTCAGAAAAGAGATGAACTTTTCTCAAGAAAAAAACACAGCCCTCCTTCGATCCCCCATTACCATCTTTCAGCTTGACTCAGTTTGTGTAAACGTTGGCTTGCCTTCTTTCCAATAATTTCCCTTCTTTCTGCAGTTTACAGTTACCAGCTGAGAGAAGATACTGTGATGTATGCCAGGCACACTATAGCGAAGACACTGTGGATCTCCACCAGCGTTCCACGGCCCACCTTTTCAATCGACGTGACCCGTTACCCTCCACCCGGTACTGCATCCCTGAGAATAATGTGGGCTTCCAATTGATGGTCAAAGGTGGCTGGGATAAAGAAACTGGATTGGGGCCCGATGGTGCTGGTCGCAAGTTCCCTATTAAGACTGTCCTCAAGAGAGATCAGAAGGGCCTCGGCTTCTGCAGTAACCTTAAACCCAAGGTTACCCACTTCAGACCTAATGACCGTTGTGCTGTAGAGGAACCTGTGAAGCGGCAATCCAGAAAAGAACGAGCAGCAACCGTGGGAAAACGGGAGGCCCGCCGGAGGGAGGCCAAGGCTGCAGCTTGGGAACGCAACCTCCGTACTTACATGAACTTTGATCTTTGAACAGTTTTGGACAAATGGAGATCATAATAATCGCATATCCAACTATGAGTTATACATCATAATAAAGTATAGCTTAATCATGGTTTATTGAATATATTAACATCAGTTCTGTGTACTGTAACAGTCTTGGCCACTTTGTTATTGAATGTGTAGTGTGACCAGCCACTGAGTCCTTGTTCTCTTTTTAGTCTTATTCAGTCTTTCTCAACCGTGGCAACTGTGAGGTGTGTGGACTTCAACTCCCAGCATTCCCATGCTGGCTGGGGAATTCTGGGAATTGAAGTCCATCTTAAAATTGCCAAGGTTGAGAAGCACTGGACTAATATGTAGCAGAGAACAGAATGAAACAGGGAAGACATCCATAGAAGGAGGAAAGAAGAAACTACTGGTTCTTTGACTTCATACAATTTAACATATACTTTACATGCCTTAAAAATGAATAAAGGATAAACTTTACAATCTGAACTATTTTGTGGAATTGGGGAGGAAAATAATGTACAATTGGGAAGAAGTGGGCTGACCCACTGTATGTTATTTCAGCTACTTGGAAATACCTTTTTTAACCTGGAACTCAGGTTATAATAATAATAGTAAAGTTGGAAGGAACCTTGAAGGTCATCTAGTCCAACCCCCTGCTCAGGCAGGAAACCCTATACCGTTTCGGACAAATGGTTGTCCAGTCTCTTCTTAAAAACTTCCAGTGTTGGAGCATTCACCACTTCTGGAGGCAGGTTGTTCCACTGTTAATTGTTCTCACTGTCAGGAAGTTTCTCCTTAGTTCTAGGTTGCTTCTCTCCTTGATTAGTTTCCACCCGTTGCTTCTTGTCCTGCCTTCAGGCGCTTTGGAAAATAGCTTGACTCCCTCTTCTTTATGGCAGCCCCATATAAAGCACTTAGAATTGGAAGAGTAGATAATATATATAATACCGTTTGATAAAATGTGTCCTAGACATCCAAATGTTTTTTACGCTGTTTGATAAGACCTTTAAATTCTATGTATTTCAGACTGTATAAAATAATCTGAATCTGGAAATTTATCATTTCAAATTGAGATGATATTGTTAATATAAATGGCAAAAATAGAGCAGGTAAATGGAAAAATGAAAGACTTCAAGACATGCAAGTGTAGAAAATGGTAAACATGTTCTTGATTGCCAGGAAGGAAAGAACATTCCATTCTAAGGCTATTTGAAAGGAGAGAAAAGTAGAGATATAGTGAATTGTGTTGATGTAAAGTAGTTTTAGTTATATTTTCCGTTCTCTTTCTCCTCCCTTTCTTCTTTCAGGCATTTAGTTTCTTTGGTTTACTGTTTCATATTCCTTTTCTGTGTTCTACACAATTCTGCCTGTCCCAAAAGGAAATAGTACAATGGGTTTGTGTTTGTCTGCCTGAACCACACACACACACAAGAATCTGTGCTATTTCAAGCAACAATGGCTTAAATGGCTCAGTATGAATTCCCATTTCATACTACTCCTAATTTTCACATTTCGTTTTGGCAGATATTTATAAGTATATATGCTAATCCCAAACTCATCTATTTAGGACTACTATATTTGAGTTAAAAGAAAACCTGGGTAATCAATAGATGGCAGCAGTGAAGATTTTTTTTTCCCCTATCAATTTGCTCCTGCTCAAATTTTGAACTCCGGCTATAGTAGCCTACAGAAAGCTAAGAAAGTGATTCAGGCACACAGGAAGTTTCTAATCCCCATTCCTTTCACCTCCCAATATGTTCGCCTGCTGGGAACTGCACTTTAATACATCTGGAGGGCATCCGATTCGAGAAAGTGTAGGGTTACAACATTGTTGCTCTTATCTCTCTGCTTTTTTTCTCCCCCCTCCCCTCCCCACTCGCCCAACCGCTTGCTTTGTGCTTCCAGCTCTGGTTTCCTAGTCGGATTCTTAAACGCTGAACACCAAGTACGGGCATGATGAAATCATCGCTGGTGCTTAGAGAACTTCTTGAAGGCACTTCCGCCCTTACTTGCGGCTGTTTTATCCCGTTTGCTTTATGAACGCCGGACATTTTTTGTGTATAGTACTGGATACTTGTTAATTTTAATTTATGGAAGAAGGGAGAGTGTACTGAAGAGTTTGTTTACGAAAGAAGGGAGCAAGAATTAAAGGAGAGGGGTGCTCTGGGGTGGGGCGGGAGAAACAGGAAGGGAAAAGGGACGAATTTAGCTGCCCGGGAATCCAGTGTGAGAGTGAATAAAGAAAAGGTGCATTTCAACGAACTAAATGCAGCACAAATAATGCTGTACTTTTAAGGGACAATTTTAAGGACTTGCAGAAAAATAACAAATGTTTGATCGAAGCTCCCTTGGGGAGGTAAGTATGCCCCTTTCCCTTCCTATTTCGGGAATCGTAATCAGATTAATACGGGAAGAGGGGATGCTTAGATCTTCAGGCTGGATTATCACCCATGAGCAAGGAAGCGATTCGAATTGGACATCAGTTCAAAAGTACAATTCAGTGTATTTTTTCAACCCTTTTACAAATAGTAGGGCGAAAGGGCAACCAGAAGCACAGAGGCTTTACCGTTTCCCTTCCCTACCAACATTCCCCCCCCCCGTTCCTTTTCTCGCTGATGCACACGGACGTAAACTGAATGAAGACCTAGCTATGTTTCATTTTAGTGTCTTCACTGTCATTGCTTAAGGCTGGTAGTTGTGGGTGTTTTTTGGGTTTCTTTCCCTAATTCTTGATCTTTGGCAATCCCTTTTCACATTCCTCCTTAATAACTTTGATTTCATTCCTTGGTTCCTTTAGTTCCCTATCAGTAGGCTCAGGACCTCAAAATGATTCCTGATGTTCTTGAAAATGGTAGACATGTGCTCAAGATCATGGAAACTTGGCTTTCTTCTGCTGATTCAGCTTCACTTGGTACTTGCATATGAGCAGTTCGTGACCTGTTTCACAGTCACCCCTGGCCAAGTCTTCGGTGTTAGAATTGAGCCCGTGTACCAATAATAGAGCCAATTCCCTCTCAGTGAGGTTCAGGACCTCATTTTATACTAAGAATGGTAGAATAATAAGGAAGAGTTGAGGGTTCTGCTTCAGAAGCAGAAGAGGGTTGAGTAAAATGGGGAGGAACAGATGAAGGTGCCTGAAGAATTACAGGCAACTCTCAAAGCAGCAGGAGTTAGAATAGTGCTTCTTATAAAGGGCAATGGTTACCCTCTTTGCAACTGGTCCAGGAAGATCAAGGCTGTTTTGGTTAATTTGGGGTTTCATTAGTTCTAGGTCAGTGATGGCGAATCTTTTAGAGACCGAATGCCCAAACTGCAACCCAAAACCCACTTATGTATCTTCGGGTGCCGGGTGGGCGTGGCTGCCGTGGTAACGGCAGACTAGGGGGGACTAAAAAGTTCAATCAATCAATTCCACTAAAAAGTTCAATCAAATCAATTTGCAAGATCTTTTTTTTTCCCCGTGAGAAGTTGAAATTTGATTGAGTGACCTTTTTTTTTTGCACACAGCAGCTGAGACCTAAAGCGAAAAGGTTTTATAAAACCCAGCTGAAGGCCTAGGACTGGGGCGACAACATGTGTGCCCACAGAGAGGGTTCTGCGTGCCACCTGTGGCACACGTGCCATAGGTTCGCCACCACGGTTCTTGGTGGTTTCCCCCCACACCCACAATCACTCCCTCTCCTTTCTCCCTTATCACTGAGCCCAGAGAAGGGATTTTGGCATTCTGCATGAAGAGATAATGGAGCTGGAGGACTCAACTAACCCAGTGGGTTACAACTGCTGCTTTTCATGACTTGCAGAACTATTTATTGTTATTTTATATTTTTATTACATACACACACACACATGTTGTACCCAAAATGGGTCCTAGCCTGGTGCCAAAGCCAATAAAGTCCACCAGACATGATGAATGGCATTTCCAGCTTCTTCTGTACTTTTGGAGTACTCCAGCAAAAGGGTCTCAGCAGTTAAAGGAGACAAGATCTTGAACAATGCACAAGCACAAATTTTATACAGTTATGATTAAGGAAACTAACACCCTAAGAATCACTCATTGGTTCCTTGACACATGTTTCTTTTGATTGGGTTCTACTTTACCCTCCTTCTTCATACATCACATGTCTATGTTAATAAGCTTTATCAAAAGAGGTGTGTCTTTTACAATTACCAAAAGTTACCAAAGTTTATATATCTACATGCCTTAGCTAGCATCCTTCTAGCACGTCCTTCTAACTTGTAACTTTCTTGTTGCTAGGCAGTAGTGTCCCTACCATTTGTTACACTCATTGCAGCTGCAACTTTCTGCCTCAGTGATTCCTTTAACAAACTTTCCTAATTCCAACCTCAGTCCTTCACACATACACACACATACAGTAACTCAAGAGAGCAGACGTATCTAATATTGCTGCCGCTTGTTTTCCCTACAACAATCCTGTAAAAGATGGGTCGGGCTGAGTCAGAGGAATTGATATTATATTTTTTCCTCAGGCTTCTTGTTGAGCAGCTCCTTCCGTTGCCCATCAGGTTCCATGGCATTGAGGTACCAGCGTCGCTTATGGCGCTACGTGGAACGTGGCCGCCGTCACAAGTTGCGCAGACTCCTGCGGCATCACAGAGAAGTCCTGGACCTGGGCAAAACGAAGGGACACAGAAACCACACACCCCTGCACCGATGCTGTGCCCTCCTGGACCACAAAGCTGCCATCCTTTTACTGAAGTACGGGGCAGACCCCTCTCTCCCAGACTACCGTGGAGACACAGCTCTGCATTTGGCTGCCCGGCATGTAGCACATGGAGGAGACCGTGGTGAGACAAACCTTTAGAACTTTGTTTTGCTGCTTCGTTAAAATATAAGGACATCTGCTTCCAAAAAATGGAGATCTCTCATCTATCATATGGAGATAGTAAATAGCAATAGGACAGATTGTCTGTTTAACAATGCAAAAAAGATGCTGAGACTCTAGAAAGAGTACAGAGAAGAGCAACAAAGATGATTAGGGGACTGGAGGCCAAAGCATATAAGGAACGGTTACTGGAATTGGGTATGTCTAGTTTAACGAAGAGAAGGACGAGGGGGGACATGATAGCAGTGTTCCAATATCTCAGGGGCTGCCACAAAGAAGAGGGAGTCAAGCTATTTTCCAAGGCGCCTGAAGGCAGGACAAGAAGCAACGGGTGGAAACTAAGCAAGGAGAGAATCAACCTAGAACTAAGGAGAAACTTCCTGACAGAACAATTAACCAGTGGAACAACCTGCCTCCAGAAGCAGTGAATGCTCCAACACTGGAAGTTTTCAAGAAGAGACTGGACAACCATTTGTCTGAAATGGTATAGGGTTTCCTGCCTAAACAAGGTTGGACTAGATGACCTCCAAGGTTCCTTCCAACTTTACTATTAATAATAATAACAATTATTATTATTATTATTATTATTATTATTGTTGTTGTTGTTGTTGTTGTTATTGTTGTTGTTGTTATTATTATTATTATTATTATTATTATTATTATGTTGGAAGGTACCTTAGAGGCATCTAGTCCAACCCCCTGCTCAGGCAGGAAACCCTACACCATTTCAGACAAATAGCTGTCCAGTCTCTTCTTAAAACCTTCCAGTGTTGGAGCATTCACAGTCTTTTTTTTTTAATTAGGACAGCTAGAAATTTGCTGGATAACAACTTCAATCTGCTTTAGGCTTCGACACAAATATGGTCCTCTGCTGCTCCTTCAGAGTGTCACAACGTTCCCTGCTTTACAGCTGAACCAAAAGGATTTAATCTACCCTGTAAGATCTGGTCAATCCTTAATAGGATTAGGACTCAACATGGCAGGTCCTCCATAAAAGGGGAATGCTATCCTCTTTGGGATATAGCTGGGGTGCTCCAAAGCAGACTGTGTGCCATATTGTGGGACAGTGCCCTCTGAGCACAATAAATAAGTTAATTTATTGTTCCAAGATGCCCCTTGGGTGCAGAGGATTCATGTGGAAACCATTCCTATTTTTTTGCTCACTTGGGTGGGAGCGAGGAGGCCCCAATAGAATCAGTGGTAGTAGCTTCATTTGGAGCAAATTGAATATTTGTCAAAGATACATAGAGGATTGCATTTCGTTTAGTACCTCAGACTCAAAGTACACGGTGCTTCTACACATTTTTCCCAACAACAATCTTTTATTGGGTCTCCTCATGGTCCAAATTCCAGTCCTTCTTCAGTTGTAGAAACTCATTGGGTGACTGACAACTGTCTGATTAACAAACTCAAATCCAAGGAATCTTCAAGGCTTTGAAGTGCCATAAAAGATAGATCTTTTCTGAGTACACATCTCAGAACTGAAGAAGCGAAAACAGCTCCGATTTTCCCATATGAAAATCTGCCTAGTTAACAGTAGCTTCCCTTAACCCCCACCCACCGAGTGTTCATGTTGCCCAGTCATATGTCTTTGGTTTATTATGAGAACGGTCCACCTCTCCATCAGACACCTGCATTAGTGAGCTTGGCATTCTTGTGGGTTCCCACGATCCCTGGATGGCTTCTTAGACTCCCGTTTCCTCCCAATGCTTTTTACCCTCTCTCCCCTGTTTCTGTGGCAAGCTGAGTAGCGATAGACGTTAGCAGGCATCTTAGCAATTCAACCTTGAACAGTGACTTTTAGTCTGTCATGCCCAGCCTAGCCAAACATTCCTTGCAAGGTTGTTATTGGAGTGATAAAAGGTTAAGATAATGTGAGTGGAGACCCCTTATGAGGTGTCTTGAAGTACTAGAGGAAACGTGAGCTACAGGTAGTCCTTGACTTATGACCATTTGTTTAGTGACTATTTAAAGTTACCACAGCACTGGAAAAAGTGATTTATGACCAATCCTCACATTTATGACTGTTACAGTGTCCATACAGTCACATGATTGCCATTTAGGGACTTGGCAACCAGCATGTATTTATGGCATTTACAGAATCCCTGGGTCATGTGATCATCACTTCCAACCTTCCCAGGATCCTTCCAATAAGTAAAGTTAACAGGAAGCTGGATTTGCTTAACAACCACAGTGATTTACTTAACAATTCTGTCAAAAGTCATGCATGACTCATTTAATGATGGAATCGCTTAGCGAAGGAAGTTCTGGTCCCAACTGTGGATGTAAGCTGAGGGCTATCCATATAACTCTAGCAAATACAATAAAATAGGAATGCAATCATAGAAATCTTTACAAGATTAGGAGCCAAAACATACAGCAGCTCTAAATATTCCATCAGTTTTCAAGGATATTTTTCCCTAGTTCCTATTATTCAATATTTTTCTTCTTCCCCCAAAAAGTTGAAGTGTAGGAAAAGATTCAGAGAGGAACAGAAATTCTGGTAATGTTTTTCTCTTTATTTATTTCGGATTTTTGGTTCTGTGTCATAGAACGGATGCTGGTTGATGTGAATTGCTGAGCAAATGTTTCTGACACTTTTAAGATAAACTGCTGTATTATAGTATAAGTTTCATGGACAATAATCCAATTCATCAGATTTATTAAAGGGTATCCAAAGATTATATAATACTTTCTACATCTAAAGAAGCAATTTGTGGTTTACCAGAGTTATGCTAGTTATGCAGAGTTATACTATTAGTTTTTAAGGGTTTGTGAAGCACTTTGCTTAATAGTCTAACACACTGGTTTTTATAATCTAGAAATTGAGACGCTGGTTTTTTCTACAGTATTTACAGTAGGTGTAGCAACTATGAATATGCAAACACAATTTGCTGCAATTTGCTCAGAAGCCACTAAATGGTGCTAATCATTAAAGTTGTTTTTTTCTTCTCAGTGTATGAAGATCTGTTTGTACCCTTGCGAATCCACTGTCCATCTGCCATGAGCATCAAGAATAAAGCTGGAAAAACCCCAGGAGATCTCTTGAACACAGCAGCAGAAGAGAAATGGGTATCAGTAATCCATCAGTAACGGTATCAGAGGGAAGAGATAGTTGGAACTGGAAATAAATGAAAGCTTAATGGAGAGTGAGGAGAGAGAAAAGAAAGAGAAAAAGATCTGTATCATTTATTTTAATCATTATTACCTTTAAGTTTTGTAATAGTATTGTTTTTAGGACCATCACTTTTGTATTACTTTTTTTGTGTGTTTCTTATTGGTGAAGAGGGGGAAAGGGAAGGAGGAAAGGAAAGGAAAGGAAGAAGAGAAGGATCATCGACTGATTTGGTTTTGTCACCTTTTCTCAGACAAAGAGTGATATGTTTTAATTTTCCAGTGTCCCAAGGAAACACTTGAGGAAAGTGTGTCAGAACGTGAGGCTGAGAGAGAGTGGAGAAGCAAGCTTCGCAATGAATGGGAGGACGAGTTTCAAGAGACCCCATGGCAGCATGAAGGTGAAGCTAGACTTTCCTTAGAAGTGAAAATCTCACAGTCCATAAGGAGCTCTCCTCTGTGGAGGTCTGAGCCATGATCATGACAGATGAATTCGTGGAGTTGCCACTAAAAAGGGATAGCTCAGTGGTTAGAATGCAGTATTGCAGGCTAACTCTGCCCAAAGCCAAGAGTTCAATCCTGACCAGCTCAAGGTTGACTCAACCTTCCATTTTTCCGAGTTTGGAAAAATGAGGACCCAGATTGTTGGGGATAATATGCTCTGTAAACCACTTAGAGAGGGCTGTAAAGCACTATGAAATAGTATATAAGTCTAAGTGCTATTGCTATTGCTACTGAGACAAGTTTTCAGGCCTCCTAAGACTTTTTCAAAAATTTAAATAACTCCCTCAATCAGTTTGACCAGAGGTTTTGCCTGGTTTTCATTTTCTGAAGCACCCATTTTGCTATTATTTAAGTAATTTGCAGCATGTAGACTTTGGACACTCACTTGTTCTACTGTCTTAGAAAGTAAGAAAGTTGTGGCATAACTAGATTTGAAAGGGACCTTCATGGAGCATGATGCACCCCCTGACTTATTTCCCCGTTCTTTTCTAGAAGATTTCTCTACTGGTCCCAACTCAGAAACGTTCGAGGAATGGGCTGATCGCTTACACCGGGAATACAGGCAAAAACGTAGGCAAGAAGAGGAACGGCGTCACCGAAGGCCCAAAAAAGAAGCTCCAAAGTCTTCCATTCAACTCCAGCACCTCCTGGAGCAAGAGCACCTGGAGTACCTAAAACGTGCCCAAGCCAAGGAAGAAGAGGTTCAGTCAGCCAAGAGAAGACGTTACGAGGAAGGCTGCAGCCGAGTCTTCTCCTCAGACAGTTCACGTCCGTTGTCTTACAAGGACATTCCCTGGCCAACTTCGACTGGGACTCCTGAGGAAATGGCCACAGCAGCCCTTCGTGGCGTAGACCCTTCAGACGAAAGAGCTTATCGGCGCTTCCTCCGGCGTCAGCAGGCTCTGTGGCACCCGGACAAGTTTGCACAACGTTGCGGCACACGCTTGGCTGAACAGGATCGCCATCGGATCTTGGACACTGTCACAGCATTGTCCCAAGCTTTCAATCGCTTGGCTGAAGCAGCCAAATAAACCTTGCTGCTTGTCTACACCAGTGTTTCTCAACCTCAAGAACTTTTAAGATGTGTGGACTTCAACTCGCTGGGAATTCTGTGAGTTGAAGTTCACACATCTTAAAGAAGTGGCCCCCAACCTTTGGGGCACCAGGGACCGGTTCCGTAGAGAGAGGTTTTCCTGCGGACTGAAGGAGGTGTGGTTTCGTGTGCTGCCTGCATCCCGTGGATGGGGCTTCGTTTGTTTGCGTGGACCAGTTTCTGGCATGCCGTGGACCGGTGGCGGTGCACAGACCAGGGGTTGGGGACCCCTGTCCTAAAGTCCCTGAAGTCAAGAAACGCTGTCTGCAGGACTGAAATGGGTTAGGGTACTTGAGCAGAGAGAAGATGTCCTGTTTTCTTGCATTGTTTATAAATTATAAAGTGTTAACTTTTGAATGTCTTTGATTGGTTTAGGCTGGCTGAGTAACTTTAATACCCGTATATACGCGAGTATAAGCCGAGTTTTTCAGCACATTTTTGTGCTGAAAAATGCCCCCCTCAGCTTATACTCGAGTCAGCGTTTTTCTTTGAAATAAATATTCATGTAATTTTATTGGTATCTATCTTCATTTTTTACATTTACCAGTAGCTGCCTCATTTCCCACCCTAGGCTTATACTCGAGTCAATATTTTTCCCCAGTTCTTTGTGGTAAAATTAGGTGCCTCGGCTTATATTCGGGTCGGCTTATACTCGAGTATATACGGTAGATTTTTTTTAAAAAAAAAAAAAGTTCTTTGTTGAGGGCAATTATGTGTGAACACACCCTCTATGGTTGAGTTTTATATGGAAGCCAATATGGCTTGTTAAAAATCATTTTAAAAAATAGGGCAAACATACAGCCAATTCCAGCCTTCACATGGATAATAATAATAATAATAATAATAATAATAATAATAATAATAATAATAATAATAATAATAATAATAATAATAATAATAATAATAATAAAGTTGGAAGGGACCTTGGAGGTCATCTAGTCCAACCCCCTGCTCAGGCAGGAAACCCTATACCATTTTGGACAAATGGCTGTCCAGTTTCTTCTTAAAAACTTCCAGTGTT